TCTCTCTTGTTCTCTTTGTTCTACATTTTTCCACAGATTTAAGCTGTCTGTGCTTTATTTGTTCCAGGGCGGTAGAGAAAAAAGCAATTAGAAAATCTCACACAAAATTAGGAGAAGGCTGTATTACTGTGTCACTAGTCTTCTGAGAGGAATTGGGCTTGGTCTATGATGCAACTTACTAAGGCACTTCATGGAAATCTATTGCCGGTCCTGTTAGCACAGAGAGGCTAAAGCACCTTTTATTTTAAGAAGTTCTGAAGGGTAAAATAGAGCTTCCTGGCTAATTTTGAATAGTGTCCTAATGAGGCCACTGGTATTGTGATCTGCTAGACCTTAGCAACATAATAATCCACAGAGAGAATGCTTGTTCTGCCACAGGATTTAGTGCCTGTTGTGTGGTTGGGTTTTCTGTTTCATTTTTAATAGGAATAATATGAAATGAATTCTACATGGTACATTGTGACTGTTACCACAGTAACAGCCTGTAATGATAAGCTGCTGCTTAGGTAACAGAACAGACTTTTGTAGAGAATAGGGAGTTTTCCCTTTACAAAATGTAACCATTTTTGTTTCCAGGAGAAGAAAGGGCTCTGTGTCTTGTTGATGTCAAGAAAGTGAAGCAATCTCTAGCCCAGTCTCACCTCCCAGCCCAGCCTGATATCTCACCAAATGTCTTTGAGGCTGTCAAAGGATGTCACCTTTTTGCTGCTGGCAAGGTAGGATACAGCTCCCTCATGCCCCCAGACCACCCTTTAGGCTGCACTGAGTTTAATATTAATGAAATCAGCATCTTTATTTCTCTGGCAACAAATCCAAGCTCTATATTCTTGTTTTAAATCTTTTTCTTCAAATAAGAAGAGTATAGGGGCTGAAGAGAGGCTGAGCTGGAGACAGTATGGAGGATCTACTACTTATATGAATAAATTCAGTCAGGCTGACATGATGGTGTAGCCTAAACTGTTACATAACAAGTAGTACAGCACAGCATAGTATAACTGCCTCCTCACAGTTGACTTCAATTTTGAGATTTATAATTAGTGAATTCCATCCACTGTTTGTTCTTGAATGTCATATAACAGTTTCCAGGCTAGCAAATTTACTTAGGTGTTTGCGTCACTTGATAACACTTGATATTTACATTAATTCCCAGTGTTAGTATGGAACATTTAGCCACAGCAAAAATTCTCATTACCAATTACTTCTACGGACTACTTTGATAACAAACTGAACATCATTCTTTTCAAAGTGATGTTTAAGATAACAGTTTCAGGGGTTAAAATTGAGACCTAACCCGTATGAGTTTCTTATCCCTTTTAACGAAACATTTTTCTGTGGAAAACCTTCAAATTTTTTATTAACCTTTTTCAAGTATAAAAGAAATCATAGAAGCAGTTCAAATTTGTGCTCTCTTCTGAGAATGTGAAGAGGCTTTTCATTATTTCACTAATTCACAATAACTACCCTATTAAAAATGTACTTGCTTATCTCTGCAAAATTCTGTTTGTGGCAAGAGGTACTCTGATCTGTTTCACACGCTCAGCATTAGAATTTACTCTGTGTTACCATCCTGAACTATGCTTGTAATCTTCCTTACAGGTTGAGAATGGTCTTTGTATCTGCGCAGCCATGCCCAATAAAGTGGTTGTTCTGCGATACAATGAGAGCTTGAGCAAGTTCTGTATCAGAAAGGTAAGCTTAATAATTTCCTTCAGTAGCTAAGGTAATTCACATATTGCACTAAGACTTTGCTTTGGAGCAAACATCTTAAACCTTTTTGCATGCATAAGAACATTTGTTTGTCAGCTAAAGTGACAGCAAATTGCAACGGGCACTGACTAAAACTGGAGTAGGCAGCAATTTTCTTTAATAAGAGTTGGCATATTTGGAGAGATGCAGAACAGAACTGTGAATTTTTTTTTTTTTTTTTGAGATACTGGACTCAGCTGTAACCATACCCTTGCTTATTTACCCAAAAAAGGCTTTCTTCTTAATTATCCAGCAGTGTTCCCTCACCTCTGTTGTCTTTGGAGAAATCCGCAACAACAAATTACTTCTCTCTGCTTTGCAATTCAGGAAGCAATAGGTATCTGAATTTGTTTACTGTACCAGTGAAAATCACAGAGTATTTGATATTATTCCATCACAGGATAGGCAGCTGTTTCCCATACCCTGATATACGTGTACTTTCTCCTGGCCAGCAAACAAGGCAGTAAGATATGGATCTCACATAGCTGTGTATACACCTCCTCTATATGTAACCCTATCTACCTGCAGCACCGGTACTGTACAGTACTGGTACGTGTCTTGCTTCATTCTGCCATGCATGGGTATGAAAACTATGGCAACTCTTCTTCAGATAGCCAACTGCAGGCAGATAATACTCCGAGCATCTAACTCACTATTCCTCTCAAAGACAAGTCCAATGAAATGTCATGAATAAATTTTATATGCTCATGCACATCCAGAAAAAATAATAGGGATCTTTCCTCAGAACAGAGAGTTTAAACACTGCCCGCCTTAAAATGTGCTGGTACCCAGAAACTCATCTCCTTTCCAAATCACAAATTAAGGGATATTCAGGTCACACTACATATCCCTGTGAGCTTCTGCAGGTTACTTTGAAGGCACTGGTTCAATTTACAGCCTGACTGAGGTTTTTATCCCCACTGAGTGCCACACTGGTGCTGCCGTAAGCAAGCAGAGTCAGCACAGTAATTCAGATGCTGGCCTCCTTGGAAGTAAAGTCATGTTTGATGGAGAAAATCTTGGCACAAACAATGTGGATGCCAGCAAACCTGGAACACCCACAAGCATTGTAGTTGATATCAACTCTCACTCGCAATGGAGCAGCAGCCAGCAGGAAACACTGAAGATGTACAGTCACTGTCCTCGGCTAGTGCTGCCATTTACCTCCATAGCGCCAAGTGCCTTGACAAGGGCTTACATGCAAAACATGCAAAGGTGTGGTTCCTTAGAAGGCAGGTTTTCCTTATCTTCACTAATCCAGACAACTGAATTTAGATCCTAACAAGATGGCAGCAAGCCCAGAATATGCTCTTCTGTTCTGCCAACTAAATTTCCAGATAAACTAGGAATTATGCAAGGAATCCTGTCCTCAGAAGATCCTGGGGATCTGTGTGTAGTGTCAGGCTAACCTGCAGAGCTATCCTAGCTGTTCAATCACAATGCAAATGTTGGTGGACTACGGATCTATGTTACGTTGTGCAAAGAAGGAAGGAAGAAGATTGTGTGTTTGTCTTCCTTTTGCTTAAGGAGCCATCAAGCTAATTTTGTAAGTGTTAACAGCAGAGATACTTTGCTTTTGAGAGACAGTTAGTGACTTTGAGGTTGCTGTCTCTCCCTTTAAGAGAGATAAATGTGGCAATATATAATCTTCCAGAATAAGAAAAATCTGTAAACTGTTATAGGGAACTAATATTGGTCTGTACTTTCCTCCTCTTTTCCAGGAGATCGAAACCTCTGAGCCTTGCAGCTGCATCCATTTGACCACTTACAGCATCATCATTGGAACCAACAAGTTCTATGAAATTGAGATGAAGCAGTATACACTAGAAGGTAGGAGACATTTCCTGAGGAACGCACCAAGTGGCTCCGCAGATTCTTTTGGTGGGTCTTTTCTAAAGCAGTTTAGGAAAAAAAAAAAAAAAAGTTGGTGCTGATCAGGCTGTTTTTCTCCATTCTCTTTGCAGAGTTTCTGGATAAAAATGACCACACTCTGGCCTCTGCTGTGTTTGCTGCTTCCACCAACAGTTTTCCTGTCAGTATCATCCAAGTGAACCCAGCAGGGCAGAGGGAGGAGTATCTGCTGTGTTTCCATGGTAAGTGTGTTCTAGGGTTGTGCATCTTTCGTACGTGAACTGTCAGAAGGTACCGAAGTTCTGTTGTAAACAAAAGCTGAACAGAGTTGACTTTCTAGTACCTGATAACGAGTATTTGTTGAAAATTGTGAATCTAAAAGCCCCGGAAGCGTGGTGGCTGGTGGTTTAAACAGTAAGATGCACAGGGCATTGGCACGAAAATAGCACACTTGCTGGGGTGCTTTTGGCCAGCTTGCTTCTGGCTTAAAAGTTCTCCATGCCTGTGGATCAGTTACCACAAGTAGGCTTCTGTGCCTAAAGGGAAAGGATTGTAGTCACTGTTAAGTGTGAACAGGTGTTTGATTATCCTGATAAAATGTTAAGGGGTTTTCAAGCTTTGGTATTCTCATCTGGTTTCCATACAGACAAATGAGACTTTTTAATCTTCTTGTGATGAAATAAGAGGGTGTTATTTTTTTGCATAGCCCCTAGAGGGCTTTTGTTGGCCCTCTAGGATAGTGTCATGGAAACGCACAGGAAGTCTTCAAAAGCCCTCTAGCAGTAATTTTGGGTGAGTTACAGTAGGAGTCTTCTAGTCTTCCCAACTTAGATTAAATAATAACCTTACCTTAATTTGTATAGAGAGACCTGGAATTGCAGTACCTTTTGGTACTGAAAGTACTCCTACATCTAGCCAATTCAATGTCAATTAGAGTAATTCATGGCACTCTAGAATCTGCAAGATAGTAAGCACCCTGTCCCTGTTAGAAAGCCCAGGGTCAATTGCCTTTGTCCCTTCAAAAATAAATGAATAAAATTCAGGCGCTTGCTCATGACGTGACATTACTTTTCTTGGCAGAGTTTGGTGTCTTTGTGGATTCCTATGGAAGACGCAGTAGGACAGATGACCTGAAATGGAATCGCTTGCCCTTAGCTTTTGGTAGGTGTTGAGGGACATTCACTTGGATAATGGAAATTATTGAAACTGGGAAGGATCCTTGTGGGACGGATATTCTTCATTCAGCGCTTCCATTTTCCTCTTCACTCTCCCAGTTCTCCTATGGAGATTTTCCCATGATTTAAGATCATTATAAATCCAAATGGCAAGCCTTCTGATGTATAAACAATTTGAGGAAAACTAAACCAAAATTGTATTTCCTTAACGTTCCTAGTCTGACAATGGAATTGTCTAGTGGAATTTTTAATGATGCTTGGAATTTTCTGAAATAGTCAAGAATATATAATGTCAGTGTGGTTCCCACAGGCCTTTTGCACTACCTAATGGGATTTTGTTCAGTTAACAGTCTGTTTTTAATGCATTTTTCATGATACTTTGGTTAGTAAAATTCTTGAGATACAGATCATTTCAAAGCAGCAATTCTTTAAGCTTGCATCTCCCTATTTAGTAATAGTGTCTGTGTCTTATTACAGAAAATATATTCCCTTAGTTTTCCCAAGGGGCTGTGAGGCTCTGTTGTGCTCGCTGGTGCTTTTTAGAAGTTCATAATACAGAATTTTATTTTGTGTTTTTCCTCCCTCTGTGATGCTCCTTCAGCCTACAGGGAACCCTATCTGTTTGTGACCCACTTCAATTCCCTTGAAGTGATCGAGATTCAGGCACGAGCTTCTCTAGGGTAAGTTGTTCTCTCTTCATTACTCTGAACAGCATGTGCTGCAAGAATATGTGTACTTCCCCGGAAAAGGTACAGTGTTGTCATTGTAAAGACTTTTTCCTGCAATTTTACTCAGAACTCCAGCACGAGCCCACTTGGAGATACCAAATCCGCGGTATCTAGGGCCTGCAATTTCATCTGGAGCTATCTACTTGGCCTCCTCCTACCAAGATAAATTAAGGGTGATTTGCTGTAAGGGCAATCTGGTGAAGGAGACCAACAATGAGCAGCACCACAGAGGATCTTCTGCTACACGCAGGTATGGTGGAGTCCATGTGTTATGGTCCTTGTGCACCTCATAAGCAAACTTCGCTCCAGATGGCTTTTTCCCCCCAAATGTTGGATGCCCTTGTTCCATTCTTAGAGACAGAGGCTGGCGTTAGCCAATTATTGTCATGCTGGAGCGGAACAAGGAGTAGAGTCACTGATGTTTTAAAATCCAGAAGGCAAAGAAATATTAAATCTATAGAAATATGCGGGTAGTCTCCTCCACAAATGCTTCGTGATCTCCAGCCGGTTTACTTTTCTGTTGTGATATAGCTGTGACTTCAGAGGTTGGTGAGCTTAGATGCTTTGGATAGACACTAAACATCAACTGACTGTAACAATCTCTAAAGCAAGAGCCCCCTCCTCTTAAATGAGTATGCCTTAGGGAGACAGCGCTGGGAAGTTGTGATATGATCTTGTTCTGTTCAGCAGAACAGTGATACTTCACACAGGTGAATAAATACTGGGGTTGATAGTGCCACTGTGCACTGGAAACTGAGAAATTGAGGCTTGTAGTTCATCCTAACCTGGCCTGAACATCCTGGAACTACTGAAAATTCTGTATGTGAAAAGGCATATATCAAATTTTAGTGTACTTTTATATGGAAAAGTATACTGCTGAAGTATATGAAAATGTGTAGTTTTCTGGCCTGTTACGTAGACTTGACTTATGTTAGCAATTCATTAAGGACCTTTACTACTGTTGCTAATGTAATGAATACTTGGCTATCAAAATATCTTGGCACTTTTCATCTTGGCTCAGGGAGGTCTGATGCTTTTTCACCTAAACACTGCTGGGTGTTTGGGGAAAGTTACATTTCTGCTAAAAGAAAATGTAACGTGAGGTTTTTGTCGCTCAGCTGTTCGCGTCCATTATTTTTGAATGACAGTAGCCCTAACAAGAGAGGTCCGCCCACATACAACGAGCACATAACCAAGCGGGTAGCATCAAGCCCAGGGCCACCAGAAGGTCCAAGCCACCCTCGAGAACCAAGCACACCACATCGGTACCGCGAGGGAAGGACAGAGTTGCGGAGGGACAAGTCACCTGGGCGACCACTGGAGAGGGAGAAATCTCCAGGCCGGCTTCTGAGCACCCGCAGAGAAAGGTCCCCTGGAAGACTGTTCGAAGAGAGCAGCCGCGGACGAATGCCTGTGAGTGGTGCCAGAACTCCTCTTGCTCAAGTCAATAAGGTAAGTCAGGAGCCCGGAGAGCTTTTCTGTTCTCAGGAAAAGGCATGTACTGCACAAGAGCTGGTCATACTGTAAAGTACAAGAGCAAATCAACTCTCACCCCATCCCCACCTCCCACCCCCACCCCCAACTTCTACTGAAACAGAGAACACCTTCCCTTGTGCTAGTTCTGTAACTGCAAAAGCAGCTTGACTCTGGAACAGGCTGAAGTCCTCCACATCTGAAAGCAAAGGTGCATTTACCAACACAAATCAAGTCATTGAGGACTTGAAGGGGAACAAGGTCTGGAGAAAGGAACATGGGAGCCTGCTGCGTTCAGGGTGATGCTGATAGTACTTGCCTTTGTCAGAATTACGCCACCTAGAAGCAAGCAGGCATACAGCACTTGCTGAGCGGTAGCCGCAGTAGTTGGGTGATGGGCTGCTGCTGGCACCTGTGTGTATGTGAGAGAAATATGTGCAACCTGTAACTGTGGTTTTATTTCCCTGCCAGGTCTGGGACCAGTCTTCAGTGTAAGTCTCAGCTAGACAAAGTTACTCATCTTGACCTGCAGGAAAAAAAAAGGAAATGTACTGAGTATATGCACTCCATATATCTGCTGCCCAGTTACCAAAACCATTCCTGGGCCAAAGCTAGCTCCGCCTCGGGAGACGTGACGCTTTTGAAGATTGTTCGCATCTCAGTTAATTTCTCTGCACTTTCCTGCACTCCTGTTTTTGCACTTTGTACTACTGTTACTCTTTCAAGCAGTTCATGAACTTTTTGTATTCACTTTAGTCCCTAGTAGTTCATCAAGGAAATGAAATGGGACTAGAGTCCCATCCCACGTCTTTAATGTGGTTAGCACCCCTTACCAGATAATTGATCATAGTTCTGAGACATGCTGGGAATTCCTGGTGGCCCGGAAACAGAAGGGCCAAGGTGAGTGAGCCTTTCGATAGAAGGTGTGATTGGATATTCTCTACAGAACAAAAGAAAAAATATTTCTGATTAGTCTGTTCACCTGCCACTTCTGAAAGTTATTTTGTTCTCACTAAAATTGCTCTAGAGCAGCTCTGATGGGGAGGGAAGAACCCTGCTTTAAACAGTCCCACGTGCCCGGCCCTGAGACAAAGTGCATTACCTATAAGCTACTGGGGTGTAAGACTTTATCCAGGTCTTCTGCATGACAGTTCACTGCATGCTGCTGCACCATCACTGGCTGCTCTCTCCTTTTAGGTTGCTTTGCTGAGTAGTGTATTGTACCTCACTTGTAACTTAACTGAAACCTCTAGATTACGCTGCAAAATAACTGTTAATTACTCTGGAAATTTGGCAATGAAGAGTTAACAAGCCTTATTCTACGACAAGAATTACAGTCACACTGGTGTTCTCCTCTCAGCATTGAACACGGTCCCTTCAGAAACGGCACCGTAGTCCTGACAGTCGCACACTCCCCAGAGAGAAGAGCAGCCCAGGGCTGGCTCTTCCCGTGGTCTGTAACTTGTCGTACAATAAGAACCAAATGTCATGGCACAAGAGGATACTCACAATGAACAGCTTTAGCGGTTACTGAACACACCTTCGCCTTTGCTTCCGCGTATCTAACCTCGAGCCATTTATTGCTTTCTATTCTCTTTTGCTGTGAACATGAAGCAGAGAGCAAATGATTTTCAAAGCAGGTTTTTGACCGTTCAATCTGCAATAGCAACATTCTAAGTGAACAACCAATGTTCTTTACAACTGGAAAGAGCAAAACTGCATCCAATCTTCCCTTGGCCACACTCTTAAACTTCTGCTGGTCCCTTGCAAGCCTGTGCTAACCTGTTCTAGAAACCCATAAAAATTTCAAATGCCTTGTCAGTGTCCTTTGGCGAGTTTCATGAATATCGTATTCCGTTCTCTTGTCTGTTGGGTTATTTTAGATCAGATGATTTGGCAGGAAACTTGCTGAAAGTTTTTGTCTCCTGATCTGAATATTTTGAAAGGTCACTGAGATCAGTCTTTAAACCTTTGCATCTCATGGAAGATCTTCAAGACCTCAGAAAGGGGCTTGTTGAGTCCTGAAAGTGTATATCTTGTGTCTTGTTTGTGAAATGCTTCCTGCTATAGAAATAGCTCAAAGGACTGTACATATTTACAAGAAACTTTATATTCGTAACAAAAAGGAATTGAATTGGTTTCTACTTTTTTATTGTAAACTGTGCATTTTTCAACACTAGCTTTTTTGTTTTAACGGTGGTTGTGGACAGCCATCTTCAGACACTGGAGGGGCCTCAGCTTAGTCCTCCTCACTCCCATGAAGAAATATTGTAACATTAAATTGCAATTGAAGCTTGTTAGCATAAATGAGGTTTTAGGTCTCTAAAAGTACAGGATTTTTCTTCATTACCTTTTTATTATTGACAAGGGAGGGAACCAGAGGGACAGTTCAACGCTCCACCTGGAAAGTATTGAACTTTGTTGTTGAACAATAACCAAATAAAACAAATAACTATCTTGACTGGCATGGTGAAATGAACGCTTCCTTCTATATAGAGTAACACTGAGCCATCCTACCATTGCACCCAGCATTAGAGGCTGTGTAATCTATAGGCGTCAAAGCTTACCAAAGAGCTAACCTTGACAATATCTAGCATTTTAATAGTCGTTATTCCCTGAACAAGTAGCATAAGTGGCTTCACAAAAACAAAGCATGTTCATATGAACTAAAACAGGTGGATTTGTCCAAATATTTTACTATAGCAGCAGTCAGCTGCAAACACCTACAGCTAAATTCTGCCCTCACATACTTAACTAGTGGTATGGGTAGAGGTAAGACACGTGTGAGTATCTGGGAAAACAATCTTGCCCTGCTAAATGACCCACACATCTTGAGCTGGAAAAAAACATCTTAATTAACAACAGTGTGATCTAATGACAGGTTTGGGATTTATCCCAGCAGTGTACTGGTAGCAAAGCGGACGGAGATAGTTACTCATCCCACCGCTGTAATATGCTGGTGCTTTAAGGCCTAATAGCTGCAACTTTAAAAAAAAAAACAAAACACAACACATTCACAAATCAAGTCAGATTGAGTACAACCTGCAGAGTTACTGTACATCTTAACTTACACCTGCTGGGAAAACTTGCTAGATCAGACTTAAATGTAAATACATCTATTTTTAACTGAACCAGTTTTTACAGGGTCTGAAGTATTCTTTCACAGGAAGAGGTTTTTAATATTCACACTGCTGCCTACAGTAACTTAATTTGTCCTCCTACTGTTCAGTGTTTTTGGTTTTGTGCACATACCCACCCCCTTACTCCCAATAAAGGGCTTGCTGGAGGGTGTGTGGGCGGGTTACTAATAGCTCCTCTTACATTTTGGTCTACATGACATTCTTCATGAAAATGCTCTACATAAAAAAAACAAGCTGCTTGATTTATCTATTGTGCCTACCATCTGATGTATATGATGAAATGCTAACTTGTTAAATGTTCCTTTATTTCTATTTTACTGTGCACAAAGAATACTTATTTAAAGCTCATTGTTGCAGTCCTATGATGCATGATCAGAATTGTAACAAAACTAAAATAATCCAGAAACTGGTGGAGTAAAAAAAAAAATTATTTATCGAGCCTTTTGATTACCAAGAACCCTGCACAAATCCACTGTCAGCTTGACCACCACACGCTGTGCTGAAATTTAGGGGGTCGGGGAGGGCAGGGAGCTCTTGTTATTTCTGCCATAGACACAGAATGTAACGGCTTCCTCAAGAGCCCCAAAAATGACTGTAACAAAAGTCTCCGCATCTACCTTAAGAAAATGTGCTCTCCTAGCAACAGCCAAGAATAAACATAACAGCACAGACTGTGAGATGTGGGTGTGGAATGTAAGTGAGCTAATAAATCCAACTCTTGATCCAGCTTTTGCCTTTGGAGGGATTTGATTCATCCCATTACAATAAGGGAACACAGTGTGATTAATCTAATTCATTCACCTGTCAAGCAGAGAACCATCTAGCAAAAAAAAAATAAAAAGACCCCTCCCTCCCATCCCAAAACCCACCCCACAGTGAAAACCAAACCAACCAGCCCACCTCTCCCTTCGTCAGCCCCCTGCCCTGCCAGGAGCCGGCTCTCCCACAGATGCTCTGGCTGAAGAGAAAGGGGTTTGGGGGGGGCTGAGGGGTGGTGGCTTACCTGGAGGAAGGTTGTGGCTCCTGGAAGATGTCACTCGAGGCCACAGGTGCCAGGGAACCCCACACCTCTGTCACCTGCCCTGCCCCGGTCTGGGAGAGGCCCTTCAGCCTTGAGGCAGCTGCACTCACTGAGCAAGCAGAGAACGGCAGCGGCCATCACACAATTCCTCTTGCAAGCCCTCAGGTGGTGAGCTGGGCCCCTTCTGGCCACACAGCCTGGGCCCCCACCCTGGTTTCTGACACAAGCAAAGCTTTTTTACTTTTTTTTTCCCTCCTCTTCTTTTGGGCTGCAAAAGCTAAGGGTGCAGTGCCGGCTACACACCATGTACCAAGTGCTCTTTACCATCTGAGACCTGGCTATAGGCTGCAAATTAAAAAAAAACAAACAAACAAAAAAAACCCCAAAACACCCCATGCCCCACACAGCTGCCTATAAAATGTTTGGTTCTGTCCTGTGGTTCCACCATACCAACACTGATGAATAGCCTGGAGTAGTCATGCATATATGTAACTGGGGGGGGGGATTCTACAAAGCTTAGCGAGAACTAATGACACCAAGTCTGTAAGTCTTGCATACTTTAACCTTCCTTTCTGTTCTCCAATTTTCTGCTTCTTTAGTCTTTGACTTGTGAAAGCTTTGTTTCGCAACTCAAAAAAAACCCCAAAACACCCCCACCACCAAACCACCCCCCCCCAAAAAAAAAAAAAAAAACCCCAAACCCACAAACCAAACTTATTAAGCTCCTCTTCTAGCAAAAAAAAATTTAATTCTAGGCCATTCAACTAAGACACTTGTGCTATCATTTCCCTGCTGGGACTAAAAGCATTTGAGAGGACTCACTGCGTGACTCCTGTCTGCCAATACATGCTCGCGTTTACTTTTTCTTCGAACACAGCTGAACAAGTCCTTCCCACACTTGCCCTCTGCTGCTGACACTTACCCTACCAGACTCAGTCCTGCACAGACGCCTTCACTTCGTTTGCTCCCATAGCCCGCAACCGGTTTGGGGCAGCACACAGCTCTGCCCCATAACGAGATCCAGGAGCGTTTACCACTGGGGCCTTGGCCTGCGGTGTCCGGCCGCACTCTCCCAGCACCCTGCGCCCACGCCTGGCCTGCGGCACCTACGCCGAGCAAAGCCACGAGCACAGGCAGGCACCCGGGCTCAGCTGCCCACAGCCCCCGAGCCCTGAGCCCTCGTGCCGCCCAGCAGCCAGCTCCGCTAGCAGACCCCTGTGCCGCCAGCGGCGCACGAGACCCCACCACGCTGCTTCTGTGCACCAGCACCATTGCCCTGCAAGACATGGGGGACTGGCACAGCGTTGCTGATACTGCGATGGAAGGAGAAGCCGTTATTTAACATCACTCGTTAGTTAATATTATTTAAGCA